GGCATACACGTTGGTAACTCCTTCAATAAAGTATATGAAGATGGCCTTTCAGTCATTCTGTTCTCCAGATCGGTTTCTTGAACAAGTTTTAAATCCAATTATTCCAGCCACTTCGGTAGTTAATCACATCATTTGTTGTGTTTCAGTGTTAATTTTTATTTAAAAAGGTAATATTTAATTTGAACAAAAATTAATACATATTGCTTATATTAGCTCAAGAACTCTTATAAACTGAGGAGTATCAGGAATCTGTTTACGCAAAATATACATCTTATCGTTCTCTTTATAAAACCTAAGATATGCACGTCTGATATATAGTATTAGCCAGTCAGTTGCAACGTAGAAACTGGTAGTTACGTACATCAGTCCAAGTTGCCATATCCCAATAGAACAGAGTGACGAAGTTTTCAGGACGAATCATACAGTGGTAGAAATAGTTACAGTATAAGTGGCAATAAATAAATCAGGCACTGAAGATATGATTTAAGGAAAGATAAATCAGTAAAATAAAAACAACCTATACCTATGAGGAATTTAGTTTAGTATTTGGGGGAAAATAAAGAATGAATACACCTGCGTCGTTGCAACGGATTTCGAAACATGTTATTCAACGTCTCTAACTACTGGTTGCAATTATCTCGTGGATCACAGTCAGGTAGTTCATGCCTACTGGCAGTCCAGTTATCATGGATTTATACGATGTCTTGGTTTGACAGCTCCTAGCTTTTTTCAAGCCTACTCCTACATCGGACAACATCGCTCGGCAAGGTAGCTGGTGTTTGGGCATAAGTAACACATGTTTCAACCACTTCAGTCTATGAAGATTCACTTTTGCATCAATTGATTCTCCATCATTACCTAGTACCCTTTTCATATCCACAGAATTGCTTACTCGATGGTCTCAGAACACAGAAACACTGTTTCTAAGATTCCTATGATGAAATACTAGTAACCTAAGAATATCCTATATTCTAAGTTTCACCCGTATAATAGGAAGGAAGGAACTGTTGAGCAACAAACCCATCCTTTGGTCAGTTGATGGATACCTCGGTTACGACACAAGTGATGTAAGTTGACAAAAGCCAGTTGATCCTTCTGTATCCGTGTCGAAATTGGTCAGACGTCAGGCCATTAGAGCTGATACGACTTCCAGGATAATTGAACCTGTCGATAAATTCAACATATAGTACAATTACTTCTCCAGCATGTTTGCAAATTTAGATGCACTCACTTTCCAACGGAAACTAGCTTTTATAAGTTATTCAATATTTAAATTTTAATAAGTTTCTGAATTAGGAGACTAAGCGTTACTTCTGATGAACAACATCATTATTCATTTATTGTTACATAGCGTTGGATAACAAGACAATCATTAATCAGGACTACGCTAGAGCAAGCTTAAAATGAGCTTCAACATGAAAAGTACAGTTTTGATTACTTTACAGAAGTTGTAACCAATAGTGATTACCTGTAAATTTACATTTGTGGATCGATTAATTATTATTACGTATGCAATCAGCTTTCTTATAACCTCTATCAACTTTATGTATACACATAGTAGAAAGTAATATTCAACAATTCTTTGTTCATCTGATATGATTAAGAATTTAGTAAATCACGGAATATAGTATTTTGATTGAAAAAAATTATATAATTCTGTCATATAATGATTACAGTTTGATGAGACTAAATCTTATCTAATGTAATATTTTTAGTTAGTTTATATTTAAACATTTCTGTGTGAAAAATTTCACTCAATTCATATTTTCTTAAATTTTTTTTTATTAAATCTATTAGTTATAGATAATTAGTTACAAATAACAAGAAATGCGACACATGTCTGTTTTAACCAAACATCAAAATGACATTCAGCATAGAAGTTTGTAAGCTATTCTTTAAACAGTATGGGCCAAACTTTATTGACAGTTATTAGGTCAAATAAATTATAAGTGCATCTATTTTTTTAAGATGCTTTGAAATTCGCTAGTTTCTACAATAATCTATGGCACTGAAAACATGATTGAATTTCTATAAAATCATCAGTTCTCAGGAAGTCGCGATCACACATTTTAGACAAATATCCTACGTCAATTGTGTAGATTAAGGGATCTTGAAGAAAGATAACAATTGGGTTAAAACTTGACCTTCAAATATTAAATTAACAAATTCATATCGACTTCATAGCCATGAATTAAAAACCTGTATACGCCAATGCGTTTACCCATCCAACTTATCATCGATTGAATTTTAAAATATTTTCTACACTGAAAACCACTTGTTAATTGTTTATTCTCTACAAAATTCCTGTACTTTTGATTTAGTAACGTTGTAATAAATTTCTATCGCTGGAATAGATATATGAAGGCTTCTTGGTCTGCAATATTTTTACAAATTACATTAGCACTGAGTGATAATTCTTCAGAACTACTACATTTATGTAACAAGTAATTGATATCATGAATTTATTCGGATAATCTAGAAAGCTATATCATAAAATTAATACCTGCAATACTGACTAAAATGGTTTTTAAACAAATTGAATATCTGACATGTTCTTAAATTACAAGACAAGTTATTATTAAATTAAACAGGTTTTTGGTATCTAAATATTAGAATGAAATTCTGTTATAAATCAAATTGTTCCTGAATTTGAATCGTTTTTAATGCTAGTTTACGTAAGCATTTTACAGTTGAATAGTAATCCAAATTGCAAAATACCATTTTCAGCAATTTCTAATACTGTCATGAACTCCTCAAACTGACTTTGATGTATGAGCATACTTAGAAACTGATTCGTTAAATACATAAGAGTAAATCGAAGTATATAAAATAAGCATAATAAGATATTACCCTAACTTAATAACTTATGTTTGAAAATACAAGTCAGTTAATTAGTTAAAATAAACTGACTGAAAATGTGCTTACAACTGGCTCAGACGATTTTATAGAAATTATCTCTTTGAAAATCCCGATAGTGTCGCAACTATAAACTCCGATAGCAAGTAAACTCAACTGCCTGCTCATAGAGTGGTGATTAATTCAGAAAAGTCCATATCATAACAATAGCTATTGTTGAAACTGTTCAAAGTGAAATATTTTTAACTAGGACCAGCAGTAGCCTCAGAGGGGCGGATTTTTTTTTAACAGGTACAGCTTATTAATGATGCTAGATAAATAGGACACGACACATCAATCACACGATTATTCTTAAAGTGTCTCAGGTAACTAAATCTCATTCTTTCTCACTTACTGATGAGTTCAACTAAGAGAGTAGTAAATTAGAAAATTCAAAAATCTGTTCTTCAGTTAATCAAAGTCTACAACTTGTATGTATCGGAAAAAATAGTTTCTTCAATACTTGATCAGTCATTAATAATACCGCGCCTAGTCTTTGTAGAAAGTTCATTAACAAACTTAAGATTCAATAGGAAAAATTCTATAAAAACAGGTTATTTATCAGAATAACAAAAATTGACAAGTTTATTTCAATAAATAATGAGGTTAGAGTTTGTTATCATAAACTTAGGTGAGTTCTTCAGTGGATAGCTAACTAAAGTCTCGGATACAAAGTAACTTCAAACTCCATTTTATTAACAATTATAATTATTTCATACGTATATTCTAAAAAAAATTACAAAACCCGCACCAGAATACAAACTTGGTAAAATTCGTACAAAATGAGGTTACATTATTGGAAAAAAGTATGATTCTTAAATCATTTAGAAGATTTGTCACACAGATGTTAATCATTTGAAAAAATAAGCAATCAAAGGTTCATGATATTTGTCTAAGAATACACCATCATAGTCATCGATCTCAAAACCACAGGGTTATCTTTATTGACTAATGTAAGAAGTACAATTGTATACCAAGAAAGTGTCAAAGTTACAATATTATGAACATCTTGGAATGATAATTGTTGCACAGGACACTGAAGTTAGGAACCGGGATTTTCTTTGTAGAAGGACTAAGATATAACGTTTGTGAAGTGCTATTCCAGTATCAGTACAATATATTTTTATATTTATCTACAACTAGAAAAAAGAAAACGAAACAGAGACCACAGAAGAAAAATAGAGAAAATTACTGCAATAGGTCTTTGGTCAAATACATGTTAGATTGTACATGATTTTAAAAGTGGTCGAATACCTGCTTTTAAAACAAAAGAAGCTGTTCATTGTTTCAAAGGCTATCTAGTATAAAACCTAGAAGCCGGGATGACTTAGTAGTTTGCAATATGTTCTGCTGTGTAAAGTACAAATTGTAAGGATATCTGAGTACTAATTTTACCACAGAATAAAACCTGTACATCTTCTTTCCTTTATGGTAAAGTCAAATCGAAATAGCGATCACCAAAGTAAATCCATCCACATTTAGCAGTACTGAGTGGCAAATTCCACTAAGAGCACCATAACACTAACATATTGAGATCCATATTGACGGAATTCGTTACATGAACAAGCTGTTGAGGAGAAAATGAATACAATACTTTGGGATTACAGGCATAAATTAAAGGTCTATTTTATTCTAGATAATTAAACACTCCTGTCGACTAAACGAGATCAAAAGATGTAAATTTGAGATTAAACTATAGATCCCTTTCCAATATTGACTAATTTCTTGCAATATGTTAAAAGCACTTCTGAGCAAATGGGAAATTCAGCATCTTTATCTTCTTTCTTACAAAACCTAATCAACAGTACATGCTGATTACTTCTGTTTAGTTTGAAACTAATGGCCCTAAAAACCTGTATAATCGATCTGTTGTGAGATTTATTACAAAACAACCAACTGACTAAATAATAATAAATTAAGATTGTTCATCTTTATATATTTATTTATTTCTAGATTGTACTTTTCATTTTAAGGCAAAACATGTATGTAACACTATCTAGATTTTAAAAGTTTTAAAAAACCATTCTTCAAAAGTTTACATCCATTAATAACATACAAATCTATTGGTATATAAATATAAATAGATTAATACGTATATTATATAATATGGAATTGTATATTGCTACAAATGTCACCTGATTTAATTTAGAAGAAGAAGAACAGAGTGAACATATGTACGGATAGTTGTAGAATATTTTTTTCTTGGAAGAGAAAATAAAAGCATCTCCTATGGTTAAACACCTATGATCAGTCTCCTGAATAGATTACTGAACCATTGAAACCTTCATGATAATCCAAGTCACCTTTCATGTATTCACTTCGTTTATTCAATAAGTTCGTAAGTTTATAATTGGGATTTGTTTGAGGTAGATTACGTGCTGATTTAGATTTGTCATCAATCATTAAAATGAATAGATCTGTGCCATTATTATTTGACCGTTTGGCGATTGAGGTATCGTTAGAATTTATATGAGTCCTCCTGTGATCACTGTTGTTATTGTCATCATTTATACTAGAATTATTATTCATTGTAATACTACTATGACTAAATAAATTATTTGAATAAATACTTGGTTTGGTAATCACTATTCCGTCCATTTGGTTTAAATTATTTCGAAAAAAAGGCAAAAATTGGTTACTGGCTGTGCGTTTTGATAAATAGTGATCATTAATATTATTATTAGTAGTGGTATATGGGTATCGCTTACGCCTTTGCATTACATATCTGTCTAAAGTACAATATGCCTCTGGATTGTCTGATTCAATATCAGTAAAATCTGTCTGACTGCCAATACTTCGTCTTTTGGATAAATGTGATTTTTTGTAAATATAATGGTTATTTGGTTTTTCAGAATATCGTTGATTGCTATGCTTATTTAACTGAAGAATATTATATACAGTGCCATACTTGTTTGAACTGGTCGGTTTCAAATCTTTAAGATTTATAATACTACATCGACATTGTACAGGCCTGGCATCGATAGGAGGATTGTTCATTATTTGTAAACTGCTCCATGAACTACGTGTATCACTCATACCACTTTGAGTATTTTTACTGTTAATAACGAAATTATTCATGTCATCGTTTGTATGTGGGAGTAATTCATTTCTTTCGCTAGCTATATATGTTTTAGGTTGCTGTGCAAAAAATCCGCTAGAAACTGAATTCGAACTGATTTCTTCCATATCACCATCATTATTACCATTGTAAGTACCATTCCCTTCATCATCATCATCAATTGAAGCATTTTGCTGACCGCAGACTTGGAATAGACGAAATGGTGTTATTTGTGTAACTCTTGTTGATAATGGAATTTTAATGAAACGTTTTCTTGAGCAATACAAGACAATTAATATAACTATGATAAAACTAATTGTAATAATTGTACACCATATTATTAATAAAATTGAGAGGGATAGAGTGTGGTTACTTTCCGTTTGTATATATGTCATTGTTTTCAATTGTTCAATAACTGAAATGTTTAATAATGAGGATTCCAATTGTGATTCTGATTCTGATTTGAAATCATTTGAAATTAAGCTAATTTCACTTGAGTTCTCTTGATTGTTTGTAATTGAATTAGATGATCCTAAACAACCGATCCCATTTTTGATTACTGGACAAGTATATGGGAATATCATACTTAACTTAAGTGAATTATGTTGTGATGTTAATAGATCACGTTTATTTGTAAATACTACAATAACTAAATTATCCGTCTTTGTTGGCAGACTATCATCTATAGCATTATTATTACTGATATGATTGTCGTCAACTAGTGCACATCTATGACACTTTGTATTTAAATTAAAACTTATCGGTATCGTATTATCTAGAGGGTTTAGACGAATAAATGCGGGTTTGTTAGTTTGTTCCATTGGTTTTTCTACATCGGATTGAGAATCTTTTCCATTCTTCACGTAATCATCTGACAAATGTAATGGTGTTTGGCCACTTTCAATTTCAAACGATCGTAAATGCTGTAGGTCGATTAAACTATCTGGATGCATATACACCGTATTCAATAGTCGTACATTAGTAATCAATCCGCCTAGACCTTGAAAACATCTTGCATCCATTCTGACCATATTCAAATTGATATGAATTTCTAATTGACCACTACGGGATAACTGTTTACTCGTTGTTGGTGATGTTGGCACTAAATGACCTAATGCACCGGGTACAATTCCTCGAACAGATTCTTTATGTCCTAGAACAAGTTCACCAGTTTCTGTATTTCGTTCACAAGATATTAATTTTAGTTTTGATGACTTCGTACTTGCTTCGTCTGGAATACAGTTGAGCATATCCTGAGATTCGTGTTCTATAAAACAATTTATAGGACATTGATGAACGGCAAGAGAATTATAATTTGAATCTTTTGTCTCCGATATATAATTGCTGATTGATTCATCATGAGTATTTGAACTGTTTGTTATCAAACGTTTTGGGAAATATTTATTTGTTTGACAAAAGTTTATAGATAATATGATAAAGATACAATTAAAACTATTCAGAATGCAGTTCATTTTAATAATTTTGCAATTATCCAATAGATATTAAAAGTGTATTTATCCACGAGGAATTTGTAAGCTTCCATATCTCCAAGCTGTTTAATAGATAAATTATGAAATCCATTGTTAAGCAAGAACAACTGCCATTGTTTTTTGTTATTGCAAAGTAGACGGATTTGATTTATTTTTATAAGTACATAGCTGCACAGGTGATTAGAATTCAAATCACAATTGGTTGATACGTCTCGACCAATCAAGTACTTATGACCTTAAGGTGGACAACTGTTATTACAGTAAAGCAGAGAATCGGACAATTGGTCATTTACCGAAATTCAACAACAGAGTGAACGTTAACTTATGAACATTGAAGATAAACCACTGTGTGATTTAATAAAAATCAAGAAAATTCTTTTCATGAATATTTACAGAAAGCAATCCATGTAATTTCGATAGTAAAAGAGTTACATCCAAAGTTATGCATAAAAACTTCTTATAACCATAACTGAAACGCAAATCAAATACTAGGATTTGATGATAGTACTAAAAAAATAACCATTACCTCGATTGAAGAAAAATAGCATTTAGGAATAAACCTCACTGGAAAATCGATGGCAGTTAGGTTCTGATTCAAAAACAGATAACTCCAAAAGTATTAGCTCTGTTTGGATGAATCAAACTATTTTGATATAGATTAGTGAAATATCACTGTACCTATCATAGAAGCATTGTTAGGCTTTAAACAAATTCTGCAGGTTGAAACTTGTATTTTTTTTTATAGTTAGATTCCTAAGTAAGCCTAAGAAATCTGCATAAAATCCCACGAATTTCACACCATAATCGTCGAGTGGTGTTACCAAAAACTTTCAACTTTTCTTCATATTCTCAATTATTTTAGTTTGCCGGCAGAAACGTACTCATTGCATACAGTGGAAATACCGAGAATTTATTATAACACGAAAATAGTATATTGTACTTAAACAGTTAATTAATATCAGATTTTAGAAATTTGTTGTAGTTCAACATGAAAAGTTTATGAATGAGCTGTACATTATTGTAAATTTGTTAACGAAGTTACCCTAAATTATAATGGTTTCAATGTGATTGAACTCAGTAGTCGAATACAGATTCGTTATACTAGGCGCGAAGTCCAACGTTTTGAGTGAGAAGCCAACCGTCGTGTTTCTGACTGCCTTACTGTACTAACTTAGTTAGTCCTCAGAATGCCTGACCGTTCAGAAAATGGACGTCAAAGTCCTGGATACACAATTAGTAGCGATAATAACGTTACATGTAATATCAATCGTTAGAGGTAATCAGAGTTGTAAAAGCCATGTAAACATTTATAAATATCATTGTGACTTTCTTAAAAACCCTGTAAGCAGTTGGGATGATATACATCTAATTGTTTTTTAATTCACTATTTAACAAATCATTAAAACATAGAAAAATTCGGTTAAATGACACACTTTTTATAATTACTCGTAAGTTTATATAAGTTTAAATATATTTACGTGTCATTGCGAATAATAATAAGAATGCAACCGACTTCTTGTCTATTCTGTATCAACCTCTAGATCAATCACGTCAATTTTTATACAAAGGTTAAATGAAATGTACTCAATAAATATGTCTGTCACCTAATAATTAGCTTACTTTATGCTAACACTGTACTTCATCAAATACATAAGCTTTTGTAATTATTTTCTCGATTAAACTAGTTTGAAATTTTCACGTAAAAACATATCTCATATTATTTTTCTCAAAGAGCAAAACAACTTTAGCTTGTACATTAAATAAATGATTGCAATATAAAATGAAGAATAATTATTTATAGATTTAACTTAATTCCTATGCGTCCTTAAACAGGCTCATATAGACATTCTTTTTTTAAGTTATAAAAGTTAGTTAAGCCGAATATGGATGTTCAATACTTTATTTTGTTTATTGTATTTTTGAATAGATCGTTTTTGCCTCTGATTTCTAAAAACAGTTTATCTATCTTAATTATACACTAGAAGCTGGTATTCTTTGGTAAATGTGATTCATCGCTAAACGTGTATAACTTTTAAGCCATCGGTTTTTCTGCAACCGTTCATGGGAAAATAAAGTTACTTTCGAGATGGTGGAGAAGATTTGTAGCTCAGGTGGATGATTGTGGTGGTGGTGTTTGGTTCTCTGAGCTGGATTTTTTGGTTGTGAAGCTTTCATTGTTCTTCTGAACAACATCATCAGCACAAACTTCAGATAGAAGTGAAGCATTCAAATTTCTCCATGTTTGATCTGTAGCTTGTTCTGCTAACCTTGACCACCACGAAGTCATTTTAATAAAATTGTAACGAATAAGTACAAGATTTCCTGTTATGATAGCCTGATAAGTAAATTATCAATTACTTCTCAGGTACCTAATCTAACAGTAAATCTTTCTAGTTCAGCAAAGTCTGCACGGCGTAAATTAACAGCCACTGGAATCTAACATTAAAGAAGAATATTTTATTCGATTTTTTTGTATGTGAGCATTATTAATCACTAGGTTTAACAATATTTTACGCATGATTTGAGCGACAAGCAAATATGTAACGGAAATTGTCACAATCACCCACGACTATTCATCTATCCGTTCCACAGACTGCCACCAAAGTTGTACTGTTTACAAACCTGATCAATAAAAAATCATTAGTTAGCGAACATTATGTATGAAATTGTCTTGTTATTTGAATGTAAACAAATTGTCATAAGGATACTTATTTTTATAAATGATCATACACTCTGTTTTCCGCCACTTCTATTAAAACTTATTGATCATGATTTACTAAACTATATTGATAAATTCTCCTGATCACTATTTAATTCCTTTGCTGTAGTATATGTCATTAACTTTTCTTAAACGTGCATAATCTCAGAATTTCTTAATCGATTATTCAATGAGTATAGCAACCTAGTTAAGGCTCTTCCGTATTATACCTCACCATAAATCTGAGGCTGTAGCAACCTCTATGTACAGAAGAGTCATATTTAATCCCTTACTCTCACATGGTCTTAGCATCCATTTGGATTTTCACAAATTCTTTTATCATAGATTAATACTTGGAAAAATTCTTTAAGTATAATCGTGCGGCTCCAGAAGTAGATATTGTCGAAAAGAACGTTTTCTTCGCTGTTTCGTCTTCTTTCTTTTCAAGAGATATGAAATTACAGCAAATATCAAAACACTCTCAAGCACTATTGAACATTTTCTCAACTATATAATTGGTAATTATCATCCGAGAACAAAAGTTCGCCGACAGATTCAAGATGGAATGTGCTTTTAAAGCATTCAGAGATGATCTTTTATTCGATCGCGATCTTAACAATAACAAGTTACACATAATTAGACAATGTTCCATTATCCACGTATTGCTGCTAAACAAATTTTACCGATCTTACAAGCAAAATCTATCCCTTCTACCCCTAGTAAGGTACTCAAGTTCACGTTTGTTTTTTAAACAGTCCAATAACAGAATAGTGACATCAATATTTTAATATCGTTGACAACTAAGCAACTAAATTTTCAGTGATTGCAAATAATGATTTAGGGTTACATCCAGTTACATCCAGTAACTGATAAAAACTACAAAAGTGGTTTACTAGACAAAAAAATGCTATTATAGGCTATATGATACTTTATGATAACAATTTACTTTCATGCATAATGAATAAGTAGTTCAAGTTACCATTTAAGAGAAAACTGATCACTATTGTTATTTCGGCTATTTCGGAAAGATCGTTTTGAAACCTTTCATACTAATACGAGAAAGATGGTTTTTTTCAACTCTAATGGGTACGGATCCCTGACGATAACAATTACACGATAAAAATATGTCTTTAGTAAATCTGTATCATTTTCGATTTTTAGACAGACGACATCCCAAATGAATTGTTCATAGCATCATAAATGCTACATAAACTAAACAAAAGTATTAGATATCTTGCTGGCTCCGCATATTTTGATAGTCTCATTCAACAGAGAAACTTTCTTCTCTTAGTTTTCATCAGTGCTAAATACTATAAATTATCTTCATTTACCTGTTTGATATTTATTTTCTGATGATTAAATTCCATTAAATAATGAGTAAATGCAAACACGTCCTTCCATGGTTATATCACAAACTTAATCACAAACTTAATTTACTACTCTACATTAAACCAGAACATAATTAACCTCAATGATTTGGCAAATGAAATGTTTTTTCGACATACTTCCTCTTTTTCAAACAACGGGTTTTTTTTGTAAGATTTGATCTGTATAATTAGGAATTAGATAGATTCAATCTAAATTATAAGTGTAAATGAATATTGATTATCAATAAATGGTCTGATCGATTGAAAAACTATTCCTTCTACTCAATAAATAAAATCCACGGCTTCTTTTTCAGAACTAAGAGTTGTTTATCTGGACAAAAGGTAGTTCAGTTTATTTGAAATTTGGCAATAATGTTGATCTAAATATAACCATTTCAAACAATTCTGTCAAGCTTATTAATTCCATTTAAAATTGTGAGAGTAAAACTGAGAAAATGTGGACTCAGTGCTGAAAATGTTAACGCAGTGAGAAGACTAGTAAAATTTGACTGTCTTATCGAATGGTTATGATACTATTGATAACATTAAGATTACTTACTGAATAGCTATTTTCATTTCAAATACTTATTTGTACTTTTGAATGTGCATAAAACTAGTTACAAATTCTATACTAACTGTTGTTGTTATGGATACATCGAGACAATCTGCACAATATGCATTTATGCTAACCGAAACTGATCGAATCTCTGTCGAAATAACAACAATATTTCATGAAAGTTGAAATTTTTTATCACTGATTATAACAGGTTTATTCATTACTATAAATTTTACAGCGAGCGGAAATTGTCAGCATCGGTTACATATATATATATATAAGTTACTACTAGAAATATTGAATAGTGAATACAACAAATTTCTTTGTTTACCGATAAATGTACAGAGAAACTTTTTTATGA